TACACTCTATGAACAATATGCAGAAGACTCAAACATTCAGAGAGACTTTCCTATGCCACTCTTGCATATGGGAAAACCACTTCCTTTCTTAGTGAATATCAAATAGTCCTCTTCACCTATTAAAGATGACTAGTCAAGCACACTCCCAGCATTGTACATGCCAGAGCATATAGAAAAGAATAAATGTAAACACAGGTAAAGTTCTAGTCGAGCACCAAAGAATTTCAGAAGAAGATCTGGCTATGCTTTATAGACTACAGCAGAGCTTTTGACTGTATGGATCATGAGAAGCTATGGCTTCTTCTGAAAGAAATGGGTGTGCCCTGTTATTGATTATCCTTCTGCATCCTGTATTGTGCACAAGTAAGTATTGTTAGGACAGAATATAGAAAGACAGAATGGTTTCCTATAGGCAAAGGTGTCAGACAAGGGGGAATTTTATCTCCATATCTATTCAGTCTCATGCAGAATATATCATAGAAAGCTAGACTAGATTCGGTTGAAAGAGGATTGAGAATTGGTGGAAGAAGCATCAATAATTTAAGATATGCTGATGACATCATCATACTGACAGAAAGCGGCAATGACTTGAAACGAGTTTCATTGAAAGCGAAAGAAAAAAATGCCAATGCAGGACTTCAGTTGAACATGAAGAACAAAAACATTACCTCAGAAGTGCTGCATAACGTTAGTGCTGACCATGATGAAATTTAAATAGTTGGAGATTTGGTATATCTCAGTTCAGTTATCAATCCAAATGGAAACTACAGCCAAAAAAGCAAAAGAAAACTGAGACTCAGAAGGGCAGCAATGAAGGAATTAGGAAAAAAAAATCATCAAGCATAAGAATGTGTCACTGGAGACGAAGACCAAGATCGTCCATACTCTTGTATTCCAGTCACCATGTACAGCTAGGTGTAAATGGTGGACAGTAAAGAAAGCTGATAGGGAAAAAAACTTGATTTGTTTGAAATATGGTGTTGGAGCAGAGCTTTGTGGATACCTTGGACTGTCAAGAAGATGATCAATGGGTCCTACACAAATAAAGCCTGAACTTTCTCTGAAAGCAGAAATGACAAACCTGAGGCTATTATACTTTGGGCACATCATGAGAAGGGAAGGTTCTTTGAAAAGACAGCCATGCTCAGAACAGTTTAAGGCAGTAGTAAAAGACCAAATATTAGATGGATTGGCTCTCTGAAAGAACCCATGTCTTTGAGTCTACAAGAACCGAGCAAGGCTGTTGTGTATAGGATGTCTGGGAGGTTACTCATTCATAGTGTCACCATGAGTTAGAGCAACTTGACAGTGTGTAACAACAACGTAAGACATCAGTTTTCTTTGTTCTTACTTACTCTAAGGTAATTTATTTTAAAAGTGATTCGGTGCATGCATTTATTTTCCCTTTATTCGTTAATTTATATTTGTTCTGATGTATTTTATGTGGCTGCCTGCATTGCACAAACACACATACATTTTTGAGGCAATGGACAAATTATATTTTCACATAATTCTACCATTCCTAGCTTCAAACATGTTTATTGTATTTTGACAGAGGTGGAAATTATACTCTTCACTGAGTGAAAACAACTGAGATTAACATGCCTTTGGTTTGTCTCTGAAGGAAAAGTTGTGTTGCTAACAATATATTAATGCTGCCATGCATATTATCTTCATTGGGTATCCTCCCTGGTAGACAGAGGGAATGCTGTAGATGTAATATGTCTTGACTTCAGCAACACATTTGACAAAATGTCACATGATATTCTGATTAGCCAGCTAGTTGGGTTTGGGCTGGATAGAACAACTATCAGATGGATGCACAGTTGGCTACGGAATCATATTAAAAGGGTGATGATTAATGGCTTCTCAGACTGGGAGGAGGTAGCAATTGGGGTAACCCAGGCTTCAGTCCTTCAACATTTTTATTAATGACCTGGAAGAGGGAATGCTAATAAAATTTGCAAATGACACAAAATTGGATGGAGTAGCTAATACTCTGGAAGACAGAAACAAAAATCGAAATGATCTAGATAGGCTTGAACACTGTTCTCAAAACAATGGAATGAAATTTAATGGGGATAAGTGCAAAGTTCTACGCCTAGGGAAAAAGAAACCAAATGCACAATTACAAGATGGGGGATACTTGGCTCACTTATCCTATGAGCGAGAGGATCTTGGAATTGTTGTAGATCACAAGCTGAATAGAAGCCAAAAGTGTGATGTGGCTACAAAAAGGGCAAATGCTGTTTTAGGCTGCATTAAAGAAGTATAGTCTCCAAATCCCATGAGGTACTGGTTCCCCTCTTTTTGGCACTGGTTAGAGTTCATCTGTGTCCATTTCTGGACACTGCACTTCAAGAAGGATGCTGACAAATTGGAACAAGTTCAGAGGGCATGTTTAACATTGAGAAAAGAAGACTGAGTGGAGATATGGTGGCACTTTTCAAAGACTTAAAAGATTGCCATACAGAATATAAACAGGATCTCTTCTCAATCATCCCAGAGTGCAGGATAAATATTAATGGGCTCAAGTTATAGGAAGTCACATTTTCGTTGAATATCAGGAAAATCTTTCTAACTGTTAAAGCAGTACGATAATGGAACCATTTGCTTTGGGAGGTAGTGAGCGCTCCAGTGCTGAAGGCTGTCAAGAGAAAATTAGATAACCGTCTGTCAGCTCTGCTTTAGTTTGGATTCCTTCACTGAGCAGGAGGTTAGACTCAATGGACTAATAGCCCCTTTCCAACTCAATCATTCTATGATTTTATAATTCATATTTCTGTTTCCCATAAAGACACGTTATCTCATCCCATGCATGGATACAATTCCTTCACATTATTTAGATATGTACATACAGCTTTGAGGAAGACATTATATTAAAATAAATAGGTTAGTTCTCTCTTTGTTATGTGTCATCAAGTCAGAACTGAAATAGGGACTCTAAAGGAGTTTTCAAGACAAGGGAATTATTTTAAAACTGGCTTTTTTTGTTCCATTGCCACCTCCAGTGAGCTTCCCTGGCCAAGCAGGGATTCAAACCCAGGTCTCTTGAGTCCCTGTCTGTTATTCTTCCCACTATACTACACTGGGTTCCTGGGTATTGTATCATATGTAACTTCCCTTTCAAATTTTTATGTCCCCCCCACCTCCAGTTTATGCATGTGTTGCACAGAAACTTGGCCTTCCTTGGACAGAAGTTCGGCAGGCTAGAAACTGCCACCAAAAAACACCCTTTCATGTGTCCTTGCTGGGAGGGTAGTGGGGCTAAGAGAAGGGCCTCCCATAAACATCTTAAAAGATGTGGAAGCTGATGTGGTGTGGTGAGTTAAGAGTCATTCTGATAGCCTGGATGTAAGTTTTGGGTATCTTTGCACATGTGAAACAGCACTTTGAGGTGGACCCAGAAATGTAACAAGGGAGTTAGGATTTTTAATTTTCATTTTCCTGACTTCTACTGGCAGTACAGTCATTATTAAGCAAAATAGCCACCCTACTTCATCAGATACATTTTCAGGAAAAATCCTCCATGATTTATCACCCCCATTTCTAGCAAACAACACTTCATCTTTCTCTGCAGCTCTTAATGGATTCTTGATTCATTTAAATCTTGAGAGGTCTATCTGGACTAGAGGGGATAAATGCTCAGAAGAACTATAGTTTCTGGCCCCAATTCCCATGGCAGATCATGGTTCTCCTGCTCCCCTAGTGATGGATTATACTTTATGGAGGATGATGAGAAGCATGTGCTTCTCTAAAGAAAAAGCATGTGCTGCTTCTTTATCGAGCATGTCCAGAATGTATTTATTCCCTCACTGATGGCACAAAAATATTCACTGTGAGTCATAAATCAAATGAGACTACATACATTCCACTACAGATCCCCTAAAAAGAGACTGATTTCTATATAATTTCTGACAGTTACAGACTTAATTTAGTCACAGTTTTTTTTTTACAGCTGGGAAAGGAAAAGGGGGAAGGTGAGTGTACTTGGAAGGATGAATAGTGGGTGCATAAATGGGGATGTATAGACCGTTTCATATCGGTTCTTCATTTTTGAGAACAGTTACACAGCAGTGTTTCCTGAGTAGGCAATAAAAGGGATGTTCTTGTGTGCAGGAACGTGTACACACACATCTCAATTGAGCCTTTTCGTGTGATATTTGTGCAGTTATCAAATAATTTGTGTAAATTGCATAAGTGGCCATCTAGATTTAGAGAACTAAAATATGGCCACCTTTGGAGATTGAGACAGTTGTGGGGAGCAGTGCAAAAAGAAAGGGAAGGCTAGCTGAGAACTGAAGTGGAGTCATAGAAAAGCTAAAAGTAAATAAGAAGTGGGACTGGACAGAAGATAAATAATAGTACAGTGAGGATGATAATGGATTTTGCAACAAGCTGAATAGACAAGCGGGTAGAAAGATAGAAAGAGCAGTCTGAGATAAAGAGTAAAGGTGTATGGGGGGAATGGAGACAGCAACAGGGTGAAGGGACATAGTTTTTTCAGATGACACAAACTGAGGTATATTTGCTTGTCTAGTTCATAAAAATTGATTATGATGATATCAAGAATATGCTTGTCTTGGAATTTGTAATCTAGTTCCTCATGACATGGTATACGGTAATTAGCAGCTATTTCCTTAAAACAGATTGCACAAAACACCTCCAGTCTGGGAAACAGGTATGCCTGCATTCTGCAAGGCTTGGGTAGTTTCATTTGTGACACTAAAACATTTATTGTATTTCGCATTCGGTGATAGTGGTGGAAAACCTACATTTGTAATACATTTGTATGGAGATACCTTCTTAATATTTGACATGGTTATTGTAGTAATGTGTCCTTTCTCAATATAATAACCCTACTATTTAAAAAGAAAAAGTCTTCAGGTGGGACTTTAAGCCAGGGGAGACAACATGTATTTTTGTTTCTGATTGGCTTGTGCCCTGACCTTGCTGCTTTCTCTTTGCTTTCTCTCTCTCTCTTCATATATGACCTTTAGGACTGCTTGACAACGCTTTTGGACCCTCCCTGTTTGACTTTTGGACTAGTTTGGCTTGGGACTCTTTTGGACTGTGTCTCCAGATCCTGTACACATGGTTTACATTACACTCTGGTAAGCCTCTGTTTGCTGATCTTGGAACTAAGTCCACCTAGAAACGGAATTAATAAATGCACTAAAAGATAAAATAGGACTAGGTAAAATCTGGAATTGAATAGAATGGAACGGGGCAGAATGGGGACTTCTTAATCAAAACTGATGCCAAAAACAGTGGGCTACAATGGACAAATATCAAAACCATATTTTAGATTTCAAACCTAAAAAATGTTACTCTTTCACTAATCCTTTTTTGTTCAAAAACCCACTGGAATAGAACACAATGGCTGACCAGCAACTTCTGAATAGGATAATCATGACACATGTGATTAAATGAGACAGATGCAACAAGCCATAAATAATTCCCCGGAACAACATTATAGTACCCATTCTGGGCAGAAAATCAATATTGTGGAAAAAAAAAAAACAGAATGGTCACTTACAAGTAGAGCAGCCCAACCAGATTCAGATATTTGATCCAACTAGGTAAGGATAATGCAGCCAAGCCCCAAACACCCCTGGGAACAACATTCATGCACACAAAACCAATTTTGTCAAAAATAGCCTGGAACAGTGACTTCTGATTAGGGAACTGTCCAATCAAATGTACACTTCCTCTCAGACTAGAGGGGACTGATGCAACCAGCCCCCAAATGCCCCCAGGTACAACATTCTTGTACCCATTCCAGGCAGGAAAATCCATATTTCACTGATCAGGGCAGAAAACTTTTGAGTAGGAGAGCTCAATTGAAATTGCCCATTGCAGAAAGAAAAATGAAACAAACCACAATCACTTTTTCTATGTGAGGGCTGTGGTTCCTGTGGAAGAACAGAGATTTCATGTATTACACCGATCTAGTCATATATGACTGTTGAATTGGTTGCTGCTAGATCAGAATATGCTGTTCGTGGGTCTTTTAAAAAATGTGAACAATTCAGAACAGGTTCTGGACTCCGGAAGCTATATTATGGCTGGTTGTGTTTGTCCCACTACTGCAATGTGATGGGTGAACTTTGGCATGCTGTCCTATTTGGAAATTGTTGGTCTGAGCTGTCTTACAAAAGTATTGGTTTCTTACCTTTAAAGGGTACTGGAATGTACTTCCTGATGTTATTTTGTACATTTTTACATCATTTCCCTCTCATCTGATGTGACATGTGAATATCACTGTCCTTGGCTGTTTTGTGCAATACTGATTTATTTATTTTTTTTGGTTTGGGACGGGTACCAGAATGTAGTTGCTGAGGCTGGTTGGAAATTACTTGAGACTACAGTGGTGCCTCGACTTACGAACACCCCTGCTTACGACCATTTCGAGTTGCGACCAGCTCCGGCTGCAAAATTTTGCTTTGACTTGCGGCCAGAGCTTCCAGTTATGACCAAAAATAGGCAGGGAAGAGGAGCGAGAAATTCAAATGTACTAACCGTTGGTGGTGAAGAGGCTGCTTCTTTGTAGCTCTTTCGGCACAACGGTTAGGGAAAGTGATGCAGCGCTCCTTGCCACCCTCTGTGGACGAATGCCACTGCTGCTGGTGGTGCCCGACACCACCTCCAGCTCCGGCACCAGCGGCTGCTTGCTGGGGTGGCCGCGTCAGGCCTCGGTGTTCCTTGCCACCCTCCATGGGCCGATGCCAAGAACAAAGAGCCCCCAGCCCAGTGGCTCCTCTCCCTCCCTTCCCCCTCGTCCATTACCTGCTGCAGGGCCACCAGCACCATCAGCAGCAGCGGCAGGATCCGCGGTGGCACTACCACTCTCCGGCACATGGAGGCAAAACAAGCGGCTGGTGGGGGAGGGCAGGACTGAGACTGAGCAGCACGCACGGGAGCGAGTGAACCAAAAGTCAGTGGCTGGGAAGGTCCCCCTCCCCCGTTGTGACTCAGGCCAAGGTGGGAGGGGTCACCAGAGGATCCCTCGGCATTCGCCTCGGAGGAACTGGCGACTCAGCTCCGGTTGAAGTGGCGCCTTGGTCTCTTGTTCGCCCCCTTTTTTCTCTCCCTCTCTCTTTCTCAAGCCCCCCCACCTTCCCTGGGTGCTGGGGATGGGGTCGGCACACAAAAGGCTGCTGGCGAAGGAGTCAGAAAAACAGGTGCCACTGCGGGTGCCTGGCGGTGCTAGCAACTTGCTTTCACTCCTCTGTGGACCACGTTCCTTCTCGCTTCTCAAGAAGCAGTGGTGGCTCCTCCTCCCCCTGCTGCTGCTGGATTGCCCTGGCTTGCAACTCGAGGCAGCCCCTCTCTCAGTGTGTTGCCAAGTGCGCCCTGGCGCTATTGCTCTGCATGCTCGCCCCTCACCTCCTTTGCCATGTCGGCCCATATTACAAATGCCTTACACGGCCGCCCCGGTGAGCAGCCACTGGTGCCAGAGCTGAAGGCAGTCGGGCACCAGCAGCAGCGGTGGCATCGGCCCACAGATGCCATCAGAGGAGGCCTGGGGCTGCTTGGTAAGGTAAGATGATTTTTACTTTTTGAAACTGTTCTCGGTGGGTTTTGTTTCTGATGATTTTTTTTGCAGTCCCAGCATGGGGGGGTCTCTGTTTATTTTTGGGTTTTGTTTTGTTTTGTTTTCCAGCCCTGGCACATTCCTGTGGGGCTTGCAGTGTTTTATGGGAGGGGGTGGTGGAACGGATTAATCATGCTTCGACTTATGACCATTTCGAGTTACATCCATCTTCTGGAATGGATTATGGTTGTAAGTTGAGGCACCGCTGTACAGTGGACCCCAGCCTAACTTTTAGCTGCACTAGTAGCTGAGTCTGAATGGAGAGGGCTTTGGATCTGGTGTAGATCAGCTATCTTTCTTCTCATCCTTTTGTTTGGATCTTCTGCTGGCTGTAGTTGTGCCAGCAGACTTGAGTTCAGCCAGCATAAGAAGGTTGTCACAGTATAAATCCAGTTATACTGGTAGAAGAGACTTCTGCAAAGGGTCATAACTAGGGCAGAGCAACTGAGGTTATGCCCCAGAGTGCCAAATTTAGAAAGTACAGCAGCTGCCTTGTCCTCAACTTGTCTTCAAGTGAGCTAAAGGCAGGGGTAGCTGCACAGCCCAAACTAACTCATCATCTGCAATGGGAAGCAGAGCCCTCCCCCGATTGCTGAGCCTCCTAGCCCTGTTCAGCTCTCTGAATGTTGAGGGTGGGGAGGGAGGCCTCCAGTGCACACTGAAAGAGAAAGAAGAGGAAGCAACTATTGCACTTCCTGAATTAAGGGGTTATTTGTGTTGAATCCTGGTTCCAAGAGGAGGTAGTTTGAACCAAGGCATGATGGAAAGAATCATGTGCTGTCTGGGCACAAAGGAGCCCATCATATCTTGGTTCCAAGGACCTTCCCTGGGAGTCAGCACCCAAAAAAAGGAGCTAGGGCTGTGCAGAAAGGATGTTCCTCAGTTTAGGAAGCATAGTGGCTGCCTTCTCTTGTTACTGTGATGGTGTACACTGAAAGTTTGGAGGATAGGCACTCATGGGGTACTTTGCTTCCCTCTAAGTCAGGGGTCCCCAACCCCCAGTCCACAGCCTGCTGCCGGCCTGTGGCCTTCGCAGGACCAGGCTGCAGAGGCAGATCACCTAACTCCCCCCCCATTATTCACCCCCCTGCACACTCACATGCATGCACAGCCGGCCCCTCCACATGCACATGAGTGCACCATGCACATCCGTGAGTGTGCCACGCCCACGCATGAGCGGGGGTTCCCTGCCTCCCGTGCATGGAGCCTGCCCCCCCCAACTGGTCCACAGCTCAGAAAAGGTTGGGGACCACTGCTCTAAGTGACAGGTGGGCTTGCTTCCTTCTGTTTCCCTCATTACAGAGAGGCTGGTTGATCTGGATTTTTCACAGGCTTGCCCCAGATGCTAGTTATGGGATTGTTTCTTCCTATTCCAAACCCACAAGGCATATCTTTGACTTGAAGAGCTTTCTATTATTTTGAAATAAAACAATAGTGAAAAATCCCAAACAAGGTTTATTGGGCTTTTTAACAGAAATAATAACCCTATTTTGCACAAAGAGGTTTTACATATTACAAACCAGTTATTTCAATATTATTTCAGTTCTCTCTTTTGTTTACTTCCATGCTGAACTTTCACTCATGAAATAAATTATTTTACAAGGCAATGTTATTTACAGTCAACCCTCAACTTATGAATGTCCCTGATACGAACTTTTCAATTTACAGACTGCTCCGTTGGCAAAAATTGGCATCGACTTGCGAATGGAGCTCAACCTACGAACGAGGTTGAGGGTCCGTTCACAAGTCAATGCCATTTTTTTTTTGCCAACTGAGGCATTTGTAAATGGCTCCCTGCAAAAAGGCTGGGAGAAAGGGCTGGAAATTCGAATTTCCCCCTGCCTTTTTGCCTTCTGAGCTCTCAAAGAGCTTTCTCCAATGCCAGGGGGAAAGCCCTTTGAGACCTTTGAAGGTGCCGATCGCGGCGGTGGGGACCCTCGGGGAGGTCTCCCAGGGCTTGCCCACCACCATGGGAGACCTCCCTGGGGGTCCCTGCCACCGCAATCGGCACCTTCGGTGCTCTCAAAGGGCTTACTCCGATGTCAGGCAGAAAGCCCTTTCAGAGCTCTGAAGGCAAAAAGACAGAGAGAAAGGGCTGGAAATTTGAATTTCCCATCCATTCTCCCTGCCTTTTTGCATTTTGAAACGCTGGAACAGATTAATTCCATTCCCGTGCATTTCAACTTACGAACATTTCAACGTACAAACGTCGTTCCAAAGTCGAGGTACCATTGTATTTCACAGTCACCTGGCTTTCAGACTTGTCTGGGGCTGGCTGGTTGTTTTAGTTAACTGCTGTTGAAACCTCACTTTAAAAATACAATGTAAATTTTTAAGACTGCTTTTTCTACACTGTCCTTAATTATTTTAATATACTCTATATCTTCAAAACTCTACATCTTGACAGTGCAATCCAGTGTGTTACTTGGAAACAAGAAGCATTGGAAAAAAGAACCACTTTTTTGTCATAGACTAAATAGCTAAATCTTTTGTGTAATCTTTACTACTGTCCTATAACCATTCATTTGTTTGCAGGTATTCATGTTAACAGCGAACAGTTACAAACAGCACACAGTCTGAGTCATCTTGATCACCTTGCAGAAAAAGAGGCACTGTTGACATTTTCTTCAAATATTATTAGACTGAGCCAAACCCAGATACAGACTGAGGCTGAGGGTAGCCTCTCTGAAGTGAACTTGATCTGACTTTATCATTTCCTTATTACAAATGCCTAAAAACAGCAAGGTCGTAAAAAGAGAAATAGATGATGACGTCATCGAGTCTGTTAAAGACCTTCTGTCCAATGAAGATTCCGTTGAAGATGCTTTCAAGAAAAGTGAGCTCTCTGTTAATGACTCAGAGGACAAAGATGTAGATGTGGAAGAGGGATCAGATATGGAAGATGAGAGACCAGCCTGGAACAGCAAACTTCAGTATATCCTGGCACAAGTTGGATTTTCTGTGGGCTTGGGGAATGTGTGGCGATTTCCGTATCTCTGTCAAAAAAATGGTGGTGGTAAGGCTCTACATGTCTCCCTTTCTTTCGCCTACATAAGATGGTCTCTGTTGGTCAGTTATAGCAACACAAAATAAAAATAATATAATACAGGAAGGGAATACATACATAGTGTCTTCCTTTCTTTTGCCTACATAAGATGGTCTCTGTTGTTCAGTTATAGCAACACAAAATAAAAATATAATACAGGAAGGGAATACATACATACCTATCATGCCTCTCGGGTATATAGCAGACATCTGCTATATACCTGAGAGGCATGAGAAACAAAATGAGAAACAAAAACAATATATATACTGCAGCACACATCATATGAGAAATAACGCCATATGTCCCAAATTTATTAGTTTAAAACTTTACAAAAAGAACAAAGATCAATTTGAACAACAGAGGAGTCCCATTTAAAAGGCAGTGGGACAAATCTAGTATTGTGCAAGCAGATTTCCATCTGGGACATCCCTCCTTCTCTTCCTGCATGCCCTCCCCAAATCTGCTGTGGATGGTTCCCAATCTTATGGAACATACTTGGAGCCATGCATGTTTTGCAGGTACATACAACCAAAACAACCACTGAAAAGAAAGGAAAGTCTTGGTTGCTACCAAAAGATCAGCGACACCACAGCTGTATTTCTTTGAATATGACATTTCACCACTTCAATTTCGAAACAAAAATGGATGGTTGTGCTCACATGTGGCTGGAAGAATCAGGGGAAGGCCTCAGAAAAGCCTTACTTTGCTTAGGCAGCTGACTTTACTAGGGCATGATTTGGATGAAGAAACTGCACAGAAAACCCTGTGCAATTAAATGTGTGCATTTGTAGTTCAATTTCACAATATTTCAGAACTGTGTGGGTGTTAATAAGACATGAGTGTCGAACCTTTGGGTGGACAAAAAGCTCAGGGAGAACATGAAAACAAACAAACAAAAAGACATGTATAGGAGATGGAAAGAAGGTCGGATCACAGACAAGTAGCAAGGAAATCCAGGGATGGCATTAGGAGAGCAAAAGCTGAGAATGAGCTGAGATTACCTAGAGATACTAAAAGCAATTTAAAAAAATCTTCAGGTAGGTGCAAAGGAAAAGAAAAAGAAAAGAGACAGTGGCACAGATACTGAATGGAAATGGAAAAGTGATAACTGATGACAAAGAAAAGGCTCAATTCCTATTTTAGCTCAGTCTTTTATAGACTGAACCTCCAGACAAATGTGAAGTGCAAATGGAAGGGACAAGATTGCAACTGGAGATATAGATAAATAGTCAAAGAATACCTTACCACCTTGAACGTGTTGAAATCTCCAAAGCCGGATGAACTGCATCTGAGAGTATTGAAGGAACTGGCTGAATAACTCTCAGAACCACTGTCCATTATTTTGTTGAAATCATGGGAAACGGATGAAGTTCCAGATGATTGGAGGAGGGCTAATTTCCCTATCTTCAAAAAGAGCAAAAAAGAGGAACCTAGGAACTACAGGTGAGTCAGGCTGATGTCAATCCCAGGGAAAATTCTGGAACAAATTATAAAATGGTCACTATGCAAGCACCTAGAAAATAATGCAGTAATAACTAGAATCCAACATGGATTTGCCAAGAACAAATCCTGCCAGACTAATCTGATCTCATTTTTATTGGCTAACCTCCCTAATAGTCAGAGGGAATGCTGTGAACATAGTATATCTTGACTTTAACAAAGCTTTTGACAAAGTACCCCATGATATCCTGATTAGTAAGCTAACTAGGTGTGGGCTGGATAGATCAAGTGTTAGGTAGATACACAATTGGTTAGAGAATCATACTAAGAGAGTGATGATTAATGGCTCCTTCTCCAACTGGGAGGAGGTAACAGGTAGTGTACCCCAAGGTTCAGTCCTTTTCAGTATTTTTATTCATGACTTGGATGAGGGAGTGTAGGGAATGCTTGTCAGATTTGTGGATGACACAAAACTAGGTGGAATAGCTAATACCCTTGAAGACAGAAAGAAAATTCGAAATGATCTTGATAGGCTGGAGCACTCAGCTGAAAACAATGAAATTAAATTCAGCAGGGATAAGTGCGAAGTACTGCACCTCGGAAAAAGAAACCAAATGCAGTTACAAGTTGGGGGATACCTGGCTCAGCAATACTACGAGTAAGAAGGTTCTTAGAATAGTCGTAGATCACAAGCTGAATGAGCCACTATTATATTTGTTTTTGTCTGTGCTTATAGAAATTAGGGTGTCTGCTTATAGAAATCCAGTTTATGGGTCAGGCAACATCTTCCTCTTCCATAGAATGATCCACATGAGAGCTGGAATCCCAAAAAATAAAGTTTCTAAGTTCTGTCTGTGCTACACAGAATCTTAAGCAGGTCTTAATCTGTAAGGCTATGGTATTGAGGGGGTTTGTCCCATGGACTTGTTCTTGCAACTTAACTTGGCAATTCTGCTGATGCTCCATCACAGCTGATATGCTTGCAAACTGGTATTACCCTGTATTCTGATGGTTATTCAACAACTTCTTGGTTTGACAGGTGCCTATCTTGTGCCATATTTAATTTTGTTGCTGGTCATAGGAATTCCACTTTTTTTCCTGGAGCTTTCAGTGGGTCAGAGAATCCGTCGTGGAAGTATTGGAGTATGGAATTACATCAGTCCTAAGCTTGGTGGAATTGGATTTGCAAGCTGTATAGTAAGTTGCTGTGTTAACTCATTTCCCTAACCACACATTTCTCTAACCTTAACATCTAGTCAGGAAGAGTCCTGTTTTCTTTCCATTTAAAAGAACAACTTTGCTGTAGGATCGGTTTTGTAGAATACCTAAGCCATATATCCTCAGTGAGGACTAGAATCTGGATCTTTTAAGTCCAAGTTCAACACTAACTAGCACTCTGTAATGGCCCTTAGAAGGCAGTGCAAAAACTTTCTCTTGCCTGCCATCAAATATCCCTAGAAAGATTTTTTAAAGAATCATCCATATGAAGTATAATCTTCTGTGTCTGGTGTGTGGGTCATAGAATGAGGCAGAGGACTGGGCTTGCCATAGAGCAGATAGCAAGGATCTTCTTCAGCTATTACCATGATATTCACAGAGATGCCGGCCTGAATGAAGCTGTAGAACTTTAGTGTGTTGTGTCATAAGCTAGTATTTGCTGGTAAAATCAAACCACAGAATGAGATGACTTTTTAAAAGTGTTTTGTCTATACGTTTATTAAGAAAATATCATTTGAAAATACTTTGTTTTTCCCACAGGTGTGCTTTTTTGTGGCCCTCTACTACAATGTCATCATAGGATGGAGTCTGTTTTACTTTTCTCAGTCCTTTCAGCACCCCTTGCCATGGGATCAATGCCCGTTGGTGAAAAACTCTTCTCGTACATGTATGTTCAGAATAACTTTGTGCTTCTTTCTTCATCCCTTTAACAATTTCATCTGGGAATTTAAAAAAATAATAACACGCAAAGGGAGATATTGAGTGAGCAATTAGGTACTGTATTTCCCTGAAAACAAGACAGGGTCTTATATTAATTTTTGGTCCAAAAATGCAGTAGGGCTTATTTTCAGGGGAGGTTTAATTTATTTATTTTTTCCATGTACAACAATCTACATTTATTCAAATACAGTCATGTCATCTTCTTCTGGTTGCTGCACAATGGTGAAGGGCGGGATTTCACTTGATTAGGTCTTATTTTGGGAGTAGGGCTTATATTACGAGCATCCTGAAAAGTCATACTAGGGCTTATTTTCAGGTTAGGTCTTATTTTCAGGGAAACAGGGTAATTGGGGTTGGCTGAATTTTTAAATGATTTCTTGGATTTTGTGCAATAATAAAAATAAGAATAAGAATGGTAATTATGAGTTACTTTTAATATAACCATAATAAATGGAAAATTTTAGATTAGAATCCTATATTTTTCCTCACTATAAACCTCACTGAACACTTTGTCTCAGTAGTTCTGCATAGGACACACTGTTAGCATTATTAAATTACTGTCTCTTATTACAGTTACAATACTACTGTTGTTATCTAAACCTCTTAATATCTAGTATAAAAATATTCTAATTGGAAAAGAGGAGAGACAATCACAGCATTGCTAAAAAAACAAAAGAACTAGTACACACTGCTTTTAAACTATTTTCATGTTTGTGTGTGTATGTCTAGACACTTTTGTCAGTTTCCTTCTTATGTCAATTCCTCTTGTTCAATTCTTCTTGCACAGGCTTTTAAAATAATAGCAACAGATATGAAACACTTCTGGTTGTTAAGCTTGGCAAAAATGCTTACAGTGCATTTTACAAGTTATTGTACTAAGCTTTATTTAAAACAAAAACACACACACACAAACGAACTTCCCCAGTGGATTCTTCTGAGAATTTGTCAGGATAATGCTGTGAAAGAAAAATTAAATAATAAGTAGAGCTCAATTCTTTTTAGTGGAGTTAATATTAGGTTTGGCTTTCTTGTAGCTTACATGGTGGTCTGTTTTCACACAGCTCTGAACTGGTGTTTGGAATTAACTGTATGTGGGGGAAAGCTATCAGCTACTATTTTGAACATAAACTGAAGCAGTGATATTATAGGTCTGACCCAGAAATACAGGCAGGGGAAATTGTGCTTGAAATGAGAATTTTATATGTGTGGAATATAGACTGAACGCCTCAGTGATTTAGAACTTTAGAGATCTGAACATCCTTACAAATGACCTCAACAAGCACCACTCCTTTCTCTCTAGTCATCTGCTGCATCAAAATACATGTTTCACACAATTTTTTAAAAACCTACACTCCAATAGAATTTGCGTCCAACTGTTGAAAGTCTCTAAATAGCTGCAAATATAAGTCCATGCAGGAGCATCATAGGAATTATAAAGTTGGGATTGAAATTCTCCCAAGAATAAGAAACTTGAGGTGAAAACAGATGAATGGAATTATTTTTAAATTAAAAATGAGTCCAAAGGGTAAAGTTATATGTTACAGATTACATTTATTATCAACAGCTGTGACTTCCATCTTATGGTAACTCTAATGAAGCTTTTGGAGGTATGCGAAATGTTCTAAGAATAGTTGACCACTACCGCAACTTGATGAGTTTTAATGGCTGAGGTCATGGTTATGAACCCGTTGAATCCTTGCTTAATACAATATCCACTACCACTAGATGTGATACTCCTACATAAAATAGCTTTCCTGTTTGTTAGGTGCACTGTTTTAATGCAAAACTGCTTCCAACAGAGGACAATGATAGTTTTGCACTGAATATTTTTTTTAATGGGGAGCATTAGAAGGGTCTAGATGAACCAAGAGGCACAGAAATGTCCAGGTAGTGCAATTCTGCCACCCCAGTGGTCAAGTGGTCAAGAAGAGTGTTCACTGAAGTTTTATTGTAGCACATTTAGCACTTCCTAACTAAACCAACACGTGTACCCTAACTTCACGGAGACAGTTTCTGTGTAGAGGTAAAATTGGAAGAGTATTATGGTGACACATATCCCCTCCTCTCCTTAACTTGTCCTCTGTTGCTCTACTTGTGTCTGTTTCTATACTTTTAAGTTTCATGGGATAAGGATTTCTGCTCATTCTTTGTAAAACACCAGGTATATGATGATGTTGACAAGGGTGACTATTATTCATAATTTTAAAAAAGCACAATGCATTTCTTGTCTATTCACTGTATCAGAAATGCTATTTTTCAAAAACACATATTACTTTTCTGCCTATGATCATCCCAAACTGGTGTACAGTTGGCAGTTTAAAAACAAAATTAAAAACATTATTTGAAAAACAAGTTAAAAACAGACTCTATACATTTGACTGCTTGCCAGGAGCTGAACAGGGATGAAGCAAACTTGGCTTCCTTTGGGAGGCACTTCCATAATCAAGGAGCTGCTACAGAGAATGTGCTGGGACATGTAATAGGTCTTCTGTGCAGGCTCATGGGGGAGGAGGTGGTCTTTTGGATATCTTGCCCTCAAGAAATTCAAGGTTTAAATGTGTCTTGATGAAGCTGAATTTAAAACATGCCTAAGCTTAAATTTATCTTGATAAGCTTGATACAACTGGATTTAAATCTGGAAGTTGAGCCATGGCAACTGGATTTCTTTCTTGTTAGGTTGAAACGTTTCACTACTCATCCAATTAGCTTCTTCAGTGTGAGGAGAGTTGGTAGGAGACCCCTGATATATCAGGGATCCTAAGGTATATATCAAAGTCTCCCAAGGTGAAGCTGCCACGTACGCACCACAAAAAACCTAGGGGGGAGGCTGCATGTGGCCCAACTTTGGTTTATGTATAGATTTCTGTTGAGTTTCCAATGAATATTTTTATTGCTTTGTCTCCATTCTTCATTCAGTTGTAGAGCCAGAATGTGAAAAAAGCTCTGCCACGACCTACTACTGGTACAGAGAGGCACTCAATATTTCTAGCTCTATCTCAAAGAGTGGAGGCTTGAATTGGAAAATGACAGTCTGCCTACTGGCTGCTTGGGTCGTGGTTTGCCTAGCAATGATTAAGGGCATCCAGTCTTCAGGAAAAGTGAGTATCCCTCCTTTTTTCTCCCCACCTAGACCTTTTTTTACACTTCCACACCCCTTTGCCTGTCCTCCCATAATATCAGCCTGTATGGGCAAGCTGGAAGCCATGACTCACTGTGCCTTTTTTCTAAGATAGAGTGTAGAAACATTGGTACATGGTTTGTTCAGAACTGTAGTATATTAAATAGACAGAAACCATCCTTGGTGAAAAGAAAGAAACTGGGAGTGTTGTGGCATGAGAACCCTTTTTGTTTTAATTTGTCATAAATAATGCTTATTATATTTCAACACATAGTTAAAAAAAAGAAAATACAACAAAGAATTAAATTACCAGGTGGCTCTCTGAATATTCTTTCTTTCTTTCTTTCTTTCTTTCTTTCTTTCTTTCTTTCTTTCTTTCTTTCTTTCTTTCTTTCTTTTTTGCATCAGAACCGGGTCCATAAAAACTATCAACGTGCTGGGCCAAGTATCAAAAGAACTGGAAAGAATCCCTTGTTGGTTGTGGTTTTCTAAAAATTATAGGCTGAAAATTAAAAAAACAACAACAACAGCTTCTTACCATTGAGCAGGATACAAGCTCACATGCTGAGTTGCAAGACTGCAGACGACCTGCTAGTGGGAAGAATACATGAAAAACTTTGGATCACAGCAGCAAAATAACAGTGGTACTTCTGTACAGAGCAGATGAGGCACAGGCTAGATTAGGTAGAGGTGTCAGTTATACAAAAAAGAAGGCAGAAGTAATGGAAATTAGGGTTCTGAGAGGAAACCAGAAGTACACAGAGCACAATGTAAAACAGAGGGCAAAGGTGAGTGGAAACATCAACAGCATCTCTGCAAAGAATGTCCAACTAATGGTACATTTCCCAGATAGTCTCACGGAACCATAATTCACGATTGAGAACATTAAAATGAATGATCAAATTGATCTGAAGATAATTTCACATGCGAAGCGTCCCCCTTCCCTATGCCAGGAAAGAGGATGTTCCGTTCTGCATGCCTAGTATGGCTTGTGAAGATTCATCATTTAGCCTAACTAAAACCTAGGACTCACCTTTTGGTTTCTTGATCAATGGTCGTTAGGACACATTCTTTATGGAATGTGCATATGCTCTACTTTCGTTGACAGACTTTGGCAGTTACATGTCCCAGATTGCATGACAAGATTTTTCAGAGGAAATTAAATGTGCTCCGGCTTCTGTTGTTGTTCTGAAAGTGATCCTGACATGTCAACCAACTGGACGGTATGTTGCTGAACTATAAACTGAAGTTGGGTATAGTTGCTCACATGGGAACTCTCATATGGCCTCCTTCCCTTCAGGCAAGAGGACTGAGTCATACTATGAATGTGGTCTCATAAAACCAATGGCAAAGGAAGATCCCTGTTTTCACATGGTGCTTGAAATAAGCACAATTCGTTAAGAACTTATTTCGCAAGCTTAATTTTGATGGGAATAGATTTTTGCCATTGATTTCCAAGGTTTGTGGCTGTGTAGTGCAATCTCAAGCATGTTTATTCAGAAGAAGGACCTTGTTATTCTCATGGGGCTTATTCTGTGGTAATAATTAATTAAATAAATTATTACCTGCTTTTTGCAGCGCAGCTACCTTCCCAAGGCAATGTGCAGGATATTTCTGTAACAATAACAATAATAATATGCTCATTAAATTAAAACCACATTTCACCCTCTTAAAATCCAAGAGTAGCACTCGATGCAACGCAGACTTAAAAAAAAAACAGGGTTTAAGAAAGCCTCCCCAGATTTATTGCCCTCAGGATTTCTGATTCCCTCACCACTCGCTATGCTGCCTAGTACTTGTGTGGTATGCAGACCAAAATGGGTGGAGAGCACCAGGTTGGGGCAGGCTCCTAATGCTTCTCCTTAACATTTCCAAATATATTTCCCAAGGGATCACACCTCAAATGGCCATGGAACATGCATAGAGTTCCACTCATAAACCCTTTCAGTCATTCCAAGAATAATAGACCAAGAAGGGAAGGAAGGGGCTGGCATCACTTTCTTTGTAAACTGCTGCAAAGTTAATCTGCAATGGAAACCAGAATTGTTTCTTCTGAATACAGTAGATAATCAGGTGGAAAAGACTAAAGCAGCACTTACAGGATATATGACAACTGTGGCAAGACTTTCATATGCTCAATATTGGAAAGTGAAGCAAGCACCTATAAGAGGAGAATTGCTACTTAAGGTGCTGAACATGGCTGAAATGTCAAAAGTGTCAGATCTTATAAAGTACAAAGCATTGACAATGTTTAAAATAACTTGAAAGCCTTTATTGGACTTTTTGCTAGAATGGGAAAAAAGAGGAATAATTGACATACGGTTTGAATTTTACAGGTTTGGATAAGTTATATAGATAAGGAGACTCTTAAAACTTTGGGTATGGACAGTTATTAATGCAGTGACTATCCGGATGATTATTAGAAACAAGTGAAGAAACAATTGTAAGAATGATTAACAAATTACGAGAAGATCCAAAATGTCACAGAGTGTAGAAATTATAAAACTAGTCCACCCTCTGTGAACCCATTTCCCTTTCTCTCTCTCTCTCTCCCTCTCTCTTGTTTTTTTGGTATTCTCTCTCTATAAACCTTTATTGGCATTATAAAATACAAGTGGGTGCACAGCGTAGTTACATTCCAGTTCCAGGTAGAGGGGGGAGCAGGCTAGGGATTATAGTAGGTTAGGTTCGAGAAAATTTGTCGGGATATGGGGAGGGGGGAGGTCTTTGTAACAATGAGGAGGAATTCGGCTACTTGATTGGTAATAGAAGTTGAGAAATCACTCAGTAGTATGGGGGAAGGGTCAGGGAAAGAGAGGGAGAGGGAAGAGAGAAGTGGTCCTAGCAGACGCTTGCGAGGGGTATTGTGAATTGGGCACCGGAGTAGAATGTGGTCCAGGGAGTCAGGTTCAAGTGCACAGAAATGGCACAGTCTATTGAAACGAGGAGTTCTTGTGAATCTTCCAAAGTGGGCTGCGGATGGGAAAATATTCAGCCTGGCGAGCATAAAAGCTCGTCTTTTTTGAGGATTGGACAGTTGGCTAAAGTAGTTAGAGGGACGGCTGAGGGAGGGGGATAGGCCAAAAGCGAGAGGGGAACAGGTAGGGTACATTTGGGAGAATAAGGTTGCATATTCAAGATCATAAAGACTGGACCTAATGGTTTGATGTGCTGAGTGGAGGTTCATGTCGGCTAAGGTTTCGACAGAAAGAGATAGTGAGGATAATTTGGCTTCAATGAAATGAAGCCACCTGGGAATAAAAGGGTCCTTTAATAGGTCTTGTAAGATTGAATTAGGAGGGGTTAGGAGATGAATTCTGAGCCAGAACTTGAAGGTAATGGACCAGGCTAGGGTAGAGGGTAAATGGATACCCAGTTCTAGGATGATGGTGGAGAGTCTGGTTTTTTTTTTTTTTTTTTTGTATTTCTACCTTTTGGGAAATTCAATAAAATGCACTATAAAAGTATTTTTGAAGTTCTCCCATGGACAGCATATTTATTTATTTATTTAAATTGTGTGATGTGCTGAAAGCGTGGTGGTGAGAATAGGGCTTCATACAAACTTGTTTCTTTTCCTACATGACTAGCTTGTGTAACAAGCCATGGGGGGACAGTTATCAAAATCCAATTTTGGCAATAGAATATTTAAAATACAACCAGTTCTGTTACACAATTAGTTTCTTTCTTTTTTCCTAAGCAATGGTCAATATCAAAAGGTACTTCGTTACTCTTTAAGGTCATCCTTCAAAATATGATTATAGTGACATTAAGCCTCTTTTTCTACAGAGTTGTTAGGCTGCAGCTTTTTATAGTCCTGGCAGAGTGTTGGACCAACAACTTGTAGACAAAGACAGTTGGATTTAAAGTTTCCTTTTTCTGGTGGAACATGCCCTTCTGTCAGAGCATGCCTTCTTCTGTTGGAGGATGGGAATCTTTGGATCACACCCAGTAGATCCTCTGACCCAGTACATTTTTATGGGTGCAACTGCAATGTACAGTTGTAGTCATTCAACACCTTTTAAAGGATTCCTACAAAATATTGGAGTTTGTATTTGGGTGTGTTGTACAAGTTCTAGTATAGTCCTCTGAACTACAGCAGAGATTCTAGGGGCTTCATCAAACTACAAATGCGGTCCCACAGCAATGAAAATGGCATTGGAGTGCTATAGCTGTAACACAGAACTACTACTAACCTCAAAAATAAATTTCCTTTCCTTCCTTTTGTCAATGGTAGTTACAGTTTATAAATGAACTAGAATTAACCATTGTAAAATGCTAACATTTTTTTTCCATAACCATAGTTTGCAATTCAAGCCAGTATTTCATTTGTGTGGTTTGTTCGTGCCCATTTGCACATGAATGTGGTATGAAACCATGGCTAACATGGAGGGAAAGGAGAGGAGAGATTAGTACAATATTAATGATAGTTCACAATTTGCACCCTAAGTTTATAGGAGACTGATATGCTAACAGAATGTGACACAGGAAACTTCTGTTTTATCCACCAGTCTGGTAGAAATGATGTAGATTCCAAAACATTCAAAAACAAGCAAAGACACTCAATTTGCCTACTCTTCTCAAATAATGCATTTTTAAAAGATATGACCAGATCATTACACTGGTGGGCTCTCATACCTGCTTCTTTCTTGACAGACACTCAGGAGTGTACCTGATGGCATAGTAGATTTCAGTGTTTTTCTTGCTGTTTTCAAGTGAATAAATCAATTCTCATTTTGAAGGATCCACTTCTGAAGAACAATGAATCTATGTTATTTACCACTGTTAGCTTTAGCCATTCTCTTAAACCAACATAGAATTTGATGAGTCATGGCTGAGATTTGTGAATGTGGGATGATTTTAGGTTTCCAGGCAGATAGACAGACTGGAGGGAAACTCGTGGACTTGTTTTTAAAATGTAGTTTCTTCTTCTTTTTCCCCTATGTGTTTCAGATAATGTATTTTAGCTCTCTTTTCCCTTATGTGGTACTTATATGCTTTTTAATCAGAGGGCTGCTCTTAAATGGTTCACTGGATGGTATTCGTCATATGTTTACCCCTAAGGTATGTATTTGAATTCTACTGATTATGTTTGCTTATCTTAGGCATTTTATTTTATGCTTGAATTGTTTGAATAAACTATCTTTTGGGAAACAGATAATATGGTAATAATTTGAAATCTGTCTGTGTATGTAATATGCATCTGCTGTGAATTCCAATTTCATATATTTTTTTTAAAAAAACCCACAGAACAAATTTGTTTTTCATACCTTTAGAACTAGATCTTCACCTTCTGAGTCTAGTGCTATTATCGGATCCAATTGTCTTCATTGGTTGCTTGATTCACACTTGCTCCCTGGCGGTGGAGGGTCACACTGCAGGAAATAGCTCCTTCTATGCTGTCTGCCTGTACATGAAGAAAGCCTATTATAAATTAGAATCCTTACTTCCTCCTGCCACTGTATACAGTTGTGGCTGCAGCAGAACAGTTTAATCATCTAATCAGTGGTTCCCAACTTTGGATAACCCAGGTGTATTTGGGCTACAGCTCCCAACTCTGTGCTGTCTGGGATTTCTGGACGGTGCAATCCAAGAACACCTGGGTTATCCAAGGTTGGGAACCACTGATCTATATTAAACCTACAACAAATATGCTCAAATATGCTTCAGCATACAGGTGCTAATGCTAGACCAGTTAGTTTACCTCTGATCTTCCTGTGGTCTACATTAAGATTTTAAGTAATGCATGTGAAAAATGGCATTGGAGAATAACTGCTGCACAGCCATTCTCCCTTCCCCCCTATTATTTTCCATCTTCCCTTTCCCCCACAACAGTCTTATCAGTAGGGTGAAAGATCCAAGTTTACCAATGAGTGTTTTTGTGGACATGTGAATTGATCTCCCACTAATCCTCATCTATTGGGTTCATTCTGTAGAAACTTACATTGCAGAGAACTTATGAAATCATGTCAGCATATAAAAATCCACTCGGAGAGTCCTTCCATAAACTTTAGGAAATAGCTTTGTTGTACCCGTATAGTAGATACATTACTGGAGCGATTTAATTTACTGAATTTACTGAACAACTAGGAATCTTCAACTCACAAACCTGGAAGCCATTTGTGGCTCACCATTCAGTATTATGAACATACTCACCCTTGCGTATACACATATTTAATTGATTTCTGTCCCATAAGAAGAAAATTAGACTTATGGAAAAAAAAAGGTGAAATAGGACTTAATGGTAAAATAACATCAAAAATCTAGTGGAATATCATAAAATCTTATCCTATTGTAATGTTAGAAGATCTGTTAGCATGTTCTAATGGTTAATTTAACTACATCCCACTTGTACACAGTGGAAGATTCACAAGTCCGTAATCAAGATCATTTGTACAAGGGAGTTACAAATCTTGGTTAAAACAAAGCAAAACAAAACCAAACACCCTTCCCTGAAGCCAAAGACAGAATAGAAGGCTGTATTACTCATACCTTAATGATGAAAAATTAAGCCAGAGTATGATTAAGAGATTTAGGAAAAGTCACACGGGAAGTCTTAAGCCTCAGCTGGTTTGAGCTGAAATTTTGTTAATCCTCTATATGGGCACCCATGATAGTTCAACATTCTCTTCAAATCTTAGATATCTTTCACATTAGTTGTCCATGCTGTTCATCTTAGATAAGCTGTTTTGTTCGGCATGTTTGCAGTGGTGTTTCAGAACTGATATCAAATTGCCTGGGTAAAATGTTTTCTCTCTAACATCTGGCAGCCTCTTTTGCTGCCAGTGCACCACCTAAATTTCTCATCCCCCTCTGTTTATGTTACATGGTTTAATATCTTCTCATTCATGGAATCATGGTGGGGGGAGTAAAGGGAGAAAGAAAGAATTACCCATATTCTTTGCTTTAGTGACAATGAGAGATCTGCAACTTCAATTTTTATCACCATCCATTACTTTGGGTTGAGATTCCTTCCTAGAGTGGCTTCTTAGAATAGAACAAAATCAGTACAACTCTTGTGGCACCTCAGAAACTGAAGTGATTTATCTTTCCTAAGGTTGTGAGATCACACCCTATTCCTTCAGAGACAAGTGCCCTTGATTCTGAAGAAATGGGCTGCAGTCTGCAAAAATGTGCGCCAAATCAAACCCCTTAGTCTTTATGGCATCACAAGGCTATTCGTTTTGCTGCAACAGGCAAAATGTCTGGGATTTGGAGTAAAAACAAACCACCAAAATGAATGCAGATGCCTATTGTTATGCCCCCTCATCTTTACAAAAGAAACACTTCCTGCATAATAGCATTTGTACCATGTTACTTCTAAGATTCAGTTTGTAATTTCAGTTTTCTTGGAAAATAGCAGCAATAATCATAATAATCATAATCTTAGAACCACAGATGTTTTATATAATACTATTAGAAGCGCAGAGTTGGAACATAAGAGTGAATGTGTATATGAGTCCTAAATATTAATAATCAGAGGTTGAAAGTTAGGAATGGAATGATCGTTTTAAAGTAAGTCCCAATCATATACCATCAAGTCACTTCTGACTTATGACAACCCCTTTTCAGGGTTTTCCAGGTAGAGAATACTCAGAAGTGGTTTCCCATTCCCTTCTTCTGGGGACTCTCTGGGACTGTGCAGCTTGCCCATGACTACACAGACTGCCTTTTCTCCCTGGAGACACAGTGTGGAATTGAACTCTAAACCTCTGGCTCCACAGCCAGATACTTAACTGTGAGCTGTCCAGCCAGCTAATTAAGTATGAAAGCACGATTCTAAAACTTGCGGCCCTCCAGTTGCGCTGGACTAGAATCCATACAACTGGCTATATTGGTTAAGAATAATGAGAAGTCCAACATCATCTGAAGAACCACATGTCCTCCCAGTTCTGTTCTAAAGGTATCTTTAAGCAACACCTCTGCCAGTGTTTTTTTTTTAAAATGAAGTAATTACAACTATATGCCCTGAGTGTGCAAACTATATAAAGTAAATACAATTATTAAGGCTCAAGTCTGAATCACAAACCCAATTTGGCTAATTTGGATCAACTTTTATGAAGTCTTGTTTGAAGCCAAATGGCCAGACTTGAGTGAGGTGTATTTTTGCAAATTGATTTAGGTCTGGGACATCATCCTATTAGTTTTCTTTTAAAATAAAGTTTCTAAGGTGTTTAATACACAAACCTTTGAACTTAGCCCTTTACTTCCCAGCTCACAATCTTCCATGTCTCCAGATATCATGTATACCAGCACAAAATGAAGTTACAAAGATGTTGTTTTTTCCCTGGGCAAGTCAACTGGAGGTTGGCATAATGCATTTAGAAATTAGCTGAGATCCAGGGTATAAATTGAATTGGATGGACTACAAATCTCTTTGGGTCAAATCAGGATAAATTCCAAAGTCCCAAACTGAGCTCCAAATTAAATTTGGGGAACTCATACATAGTTCTAAAAATGATTATTTTCTGAGTTTATTAAATTGTGTGAGTGCATTAAACAGCTTTAATGAAAACATAAAATGACTCAGCTAACGCAAGAGTGGAGAAGATAAAGTTGCATATCACGATAAACGCTACTGTTAGCTGAGTCTTAAGATGAGCATAACCAGACTGAGGGCTGAGAAGCCATGATATTTTAAAGAAGAATACTGTGATGGCTAAGGGAGTATGGAGCTAAGTTACACAACAGTGTTGCCATGTTTGCAGTCAGCTGACCCATAGAATGTTGTCCATGACCATTGGCCCATTTAGCTTAGTATTGTCTGCATTGACTTGCAGACTTTCAGAGTTTTGGGAAAAGATTGATCTGTGCATTGTTAAATGCAAAGTAAGTGTTGTGCCACTGAATGATGACCTCCTTCTTTCCCTACATCCTTCATGTGTTGACACAGAAGTAATTCCCACATATTTCAGTGGAATTTGCTTCCAAGGAAATATGTGTGTAGCCTGCATAATTAACTTATAAACTGCCCAGACAGTGCTTTAAACCCTATGGGGTGGCATACAAGCAACACACTTTGCTTTGTTTTGCTTTGCTTTGCATGGGATTACAGCCTTAAACATATACAGCATTTCACCAAATTACGACTATACTAGTTGTAAGTCTTCATTGAGGATACAGAGACACCTATTGGACAACTATTGGAACAACTATTGGAACAAAACTTTTCAAAGGCAAAGCAGTGGGCAAAAGAATAAAGTTGTGGCATCTTATTCAACATTGTGCGAGTAGTCAGAAAGAATGAAATGTGTATTTACCACCACCTAGTGAGCAAACCCTGCTATGACTGCGACAAACATTTACAGTATATCTGTGACTTCCTATAAAGTCTTGATAAAAAAAGTACATTTCATTGTTTCTGATTATTGTGTGCATTTTAGAGAACAATCTCTTTTTAAGCTCTAGAAAATTCCAAACTATTATTTAGAAACTTATGAAAAAGCTAGGATATCTAGTCTTAATACTAATAAAAAAAATACTAGTTAATGGAAATAATGGCATTATTGACTGTTTGCATATGTTTCATACATACAGTTCCCATAATTCCTGGTCATCATCCCTGGTAGTCCTCATCTCTGATTTACCAAAATGGCAGTGCTGTTGATAAACCACATAAATAGAACACTTCATAGACCAAAGTGCTACATACACTTACTTGAGTGCAACTCCCACTGAACTTCTAAATCAACTGGCCTGGTCTGCACAACCAGTCCTTTAGCTACCTAACAAGTGCTTCATTATCACTGAATTTTGTCAAAGAAATCTCATGTATTCAGTTTCTACTTTAATAACTGAAATTCTGTTGCTTAGCTTAGTAAGTTGTAACTAGACTAAGCTCATAGAATAACTTCCATTGATTCATTGGGCCTGCTCTATTGACATTATGGTAAGCAATAGGATTCCAGCCACTGTCCCATTAATTTCTACTATTGTAATGCATTAAATACACATGGGGGGAAGTGAGAGAGATGTTACCTGGCATTTTGAAAATTATTTCTTCTGTATACACACTGCAGATGCTACTTAGCTATATTTTAGGGAAGAAATGTTCACGATTTCTAAAATCTTTTTTTCCAAACAACTAAATTTAGCATTGTTGTTATTATGCACCATCAAGTTGGAACTAATTTATAGTAATTCTAATAGGGCTATTGAGGTAAGTGAGATAGTGAAGGAGTGGTTTTTACCATTTCCGCACCTCTTCCTTACAGCTAGCTGATAAAGCTTCAGAACATGAAAGCTATTTCTGAAGCTTTTATCAGCACCTCCCCAGTCAATTTTGTAATTTGCAGGGGAGATTGTATGGTAGAAGGGGGGTTGCTGCCTCTCAGGTCCATTTAGTTAGGTGACACACCCCATTGTAGTCTGGCCATGATGATCCTCCTGTTTTTACTCTAGTGATGAGTTGCAGACTAAACAGCAATTACTCAGATCAATTAAGGGTTGCTGTTTTTCCCCTGTTGGAAACACTGCTCTACCTGAAGAATGTTGTCAGTGACATTGATAAGAGACTGTCTGGGAGGGGGGAAATATTAGCAAAAGTATTGATTGTAGATGCAGATATTTTTTGTCATTTGTTTCCCGCCAACTAATAGTCCAGATAAAGAGACAAGGTGCCACAGATAGCCCAGTACCAGAACTTAAAGTCAGTTTTGGATCTGAATTGCATCTTGACATGTGGGTGTAGAATTTAGGACATTATGGGTTATCTTCCTCAATGATGTGTTGCCTCTCCCTTTAGGAGAAGTGCTGTATTTTGTAGCTGACATATATTGTGTCTAATTTCAAACAGCTTGAAATAATGCTGGAGCCCAAGGTCTGGAGAGAAGCTGCTACTCAGGTGTTCTTTGCCTTAGGGCTTGGATTTGGTGGAGTGATTGCCTTTTCAAGCTACAACAAGAGAGACAACAACTGCCATTTCGATGCGGTTCTGGTGTCCTTCATCAATTTTTTCACTTCTGTGCTGGCAACTTTGGTGGTGTTTGCTGTGCTGGGCTTCAAAGCAAATGTCATAAATGAAAAATGCATTATCCAGTATGAATATTCATTTCTTTATCCATTTTTATAGTATATTTCACTTAGGAATTTCCACTGTAGTTCTTTGGATTGACCGCGCACTTTTGTGGTTTCTTGTGTTTTGCAGAAATTCTGAAAAGATTGTCCAACTTTTGAACACTGGCAATCTTAGCACGGCTATAATACCTCCTCATATCAATTTTTCAAGCATCACAGCTGAAGATTATAATTTGGTTTATGATATTATCCAAAAAGTGAAAGAAGAAGAGCGTCCTCTTGGTCTGAAACCCTGTCTGATTGAAGATGAATTGAACAAGGTTAGAATGGTCTTCTATCCAAACTGAGCAACTGTTTTAATTACTGTTTGGATGAGCTTCTCATTCTCCCATTGAATACACGTTGGCCACTACAAATCTGACTAGGGCTTGTAGCTTGAAAAGGCCGTGGTGCTGTGAAATCTAATTGAAGGCTCTCTAAACCACAGTCTTTGCCACAGTTCCCTGTCTCATCAGAACCAAGAACCTCTGATGTATTAAACTAATTAGCAAACAAGAAAACAATGTGATGTTACGGGCTTTTTTTTAGTAATTCCCTCCACACTCACTGGAACAATTCCCATCAGTTCTCACCTATAGATTAATGTATTAGTTTTCTGGCACTTCAACCAGAAAGTCTTTTTATTTCTCTATTGTTGGAATATTTCTCTACCCAGCGTGGTGTTAGTCTGTGGAACTCCTTGCCACAGGATGTGGTGATGGCATCTGGCCTAGATGCCTTTAAAGGGGGATTGGACAGATTCCTGGAGGAAAAGTCCATCACAGGTTACAAGCCATGATGGGGATATATAATCTCCAGCTTTAAAAGGAAGGTACCTCAAAATGCCAGATGCAGGGGAGTGGGATCAGGAGACACAGGTATCAAGTTGTCTTGTTTGCTTCTAGAGGCATCAGGTGAGGCCACGGTAAGATACAGGAAGCTGGACTAGATGGGCCCTTGGCCTGATCCAGCAGGGGTCTTCTTACGTTCTCATGTGGAAGAAGAATCAAGGCCACATCTCAAGACTGACAAATATAAAATTCCTCACTAATGAATGTCTGTATGTGTGTGTAAGTTGGAGGAGAGAAGATGGACAACAGATTTAAAGCCTTCGTTGATTGATTGGGAGACTTTAGCCATGGTGACTTAGAATAGCCTAGTCATTAAGTTATTAGCTAGTTAATCATGTTATTGTTTTATGGGAAAGTCTTACAGAAGTTTACTTAATACTTAGATGCTTGGCATTTAAAAAGTACAAGTGTATCTTTTTGTATTTCTTTTGTTTTATAACTTTTTTACTCTTTTTTGAATAAATATTGTATATTTTACTGAAACGTGATTCTTGGAGGCAAGAGTGAGAGTTCCTAAAGAAAGTGCCTTAGCTACAAGGACTATGTTTGCTATTTTTTGTTATTTTTTATGTTTGTTTTGCTCCTTTGTTTGAATGACTTATCTAAGGAGACACGTTCCTGACAGTGCCATTACTAACCTTTGCATGACTGTTAGAATACCTGTAAGGAGCCTCCAAGCATATTGCTGGCAGGATTGCTGTTTTTCCAGAATCCCCCATCTTGCAAAGAAAGCATGGGTAGCTGTAGGCAAGGGGGTACCTCTGTTTCCTTCTTTCCTTCATACATGCATGCAGTCATTATATGTGTATTCTTTCTCCCGTGAGGGTACCATATGATAAAATAGTATAAATACTGTTAAAGCACACAATGAATGAATGCAAACATTAATGTAAAACATAACTGAAAGGCATGTCAATAAAAATAAAACACAGCTCCCATCTGGTTAGGAGCCCCTTCGGCTGCAGAAAGGTCAGCTGGCAAAGGCACACCTTGAATAAATAGGTCTTTGCATGCCAGCAGAAGGACAACAACCTGTCTTACCTTGATCAGTTTGTTAGTTGTAAGTCCTGCCTTGCTCCCAGAATTAGCCTTCCAGTAGGGAGACAACAAGAGGAGCCAGCCTACCCTCCTTTGGTAGAGGGTTCCAGAGCCTGAAAATAAATTCTGGAATGTTTTTACAAACGCTAATGAAATCACACAGGTTTTGAGTTTGGGCAAAGAAGCCCAGTTGCCATGAGGTAATAGCTGATGCGTTTGCTTATTGCCTGTTTTCTGGAAAGGTGTCATCAATGCTTGACAAAACATAATAAGAAATGGGGAAATGAAGAACTAAAAAAAACCAAATTACTGCTCCCACCCTTATTCTTAAGAAGCGTGTGTATCATCACCAGAGATAACTCGAGGCATAGGATTCAAAGGTTGCAATTCTACGCTCCTGCTCCCTCCTTCAGTCAGTTTACATGGCACACTGTGTGAATTCTGCTTTGATTTTGCTCTTCCTTCCTACTTCTCTTTGACAGGCTGTTCAAGGAACTGGACTGGCTTTCATTGCCTTCACTGAAGCCATGACACACTTCCCTGCTTCCCCATTTTGGTCAGTGATGTTCTTTCTCATGCTGGTAAACTTGGGGCTTGGCAGCATGTTTGGAACCATTGAAGGGATCACAACGCCTATAGTTGATACTTTCAAAGTGAGAAAAGAGATTCTGACTGGTGAGTTATGTATTTCTCAACACAGGCTCCTCATTCCAGGATAAAGGTTGTAAGATTTGAATTTTTGAGTCCTTTCATCTACAGATTTTCCTTCATCTGAGGCTGTCATTTCTATTGTCAGCCACTGTCTTCTTAAATGTAAACTATTTTTGCAAGCGTTATCACATTTACATTTAAAAAACAATTACACGTATTCTTGGTTGCCTATGTGTAATACAAAGATATAGCTTGCATCCAAGCTTAGAAATAGTTCATTTTTGGAATTACTAGTCCTGGAATCCCTTGGCCGGCAGAGAATTCTGGCAGGTTATAATTTCCAAAGTACCCAGGGTGGTGTGGTAGACAGAGTAATGGACTAGCACTCAGGAGACCTGGGTACGAATCCCTGCTCAGCCATGGAAACTCATGGAGTGATACTGGTAAAAGTACTGTAATCATGAAATACTTCATTTACCTTGAAAAGGCCTATTAGGGTTACTGTAAGTCAGTGCCGACGGCACATAACACACAAACAATCCCCCAAAGTGACTTTTTCCAAGCTCTGACTTGATTCAAGAAATGATCTTGAAGTGGCTCAGGAGACCTGTGGAAAAGTCTGTGACTTTAAAATGATTCACAATAGGTCAGGGCAGGAAAAGTGGGTAGTTCAAGACTTTTTGAGGCAAGCCAAGAGTTCTTAGAACCCTAAGGATTGTTCATTTTATTTCTTTTCAGTTTGGAATGCAAGGAAGTACATAGTTCTAATTCAGCCAGGAGGATAAATAAGTTGTCAACATTTCTATGTGGTGTTCATGAAAACTAAAATGAATGAGCCAAAAAACCCACATCCAGAGTTAATAATATTTCAAGGAAGCCCATCAAAATCTATGAAATCTAACTCTGCTAACTTAAGTCCCATTAATTTCTGTGGGTAACTTAGAATATGAGTAAATTGGGATCCAGCACAGTGAGACTTTATTTGCAGTCCGTATTCCGTATATCTTTCTTTGCTCTGTTTTTGTGCATAATAACTGAGACATCTTGCACATTTTTTGTTGTTTGAATATAGAAACTGTTCAAACCCTACACTGGATTTTAAAAGTAACTTTTCATGCCAAGCCCTTTGTGTATGGGACATACTGTTAGGGAATAATGAATCAGTCAAATGGACTGGTCCCCTGAATGTGTAATTTCTTCCCATCCTGGTTTATTTCATCCTGTTTCTATATCAGTTTGCTTAAAAAAAAAAAAATGACTCAGTTTGTGCTATTCCCTCCCCCCATTCCTTTATATGTGATCTTGCCTGTTACAGACCATTTTTGCAGTCACTTTCCCATCATACAGCATTTACCCTTTTTTTGGTAATATATGCACTTCTATATATAACTCTTGTTGATTACAGAATTGTTATCACAAAGGTTTGCCGAAGTGCAAACACTGAAAAGCAACTTTGCCCATTCATTTTGGGAGTATAGATGAGTGGGCTTACATTAAAATGTAAATAAAATGAATTTTCCAACCATTCTAATAAGGATGAATTCTTCCAGGCTGAGTGTTGACTTGTAACACAGAGAGGAGAATGAATGAGGAACTGGGTTGGAAAGAAGTTTGGTTCATTCTCAGTCTCATGAAATCCATGAAAGGGAACAGTAAAAAAGCAACAGGGACACAGTTCCATGGCCTTTCTTATAGTCTGATACTATATATTGGAAAGTCACTTCCATGCAAGGGACCTCCCCCACAAACTGGCAATTCCACCTCCCTATTATCTGAAAAATGTTAATGAAGGGATGAATCCGTCTTTTTTGTTTATATTGCAGTCGCTTGCTGTCTTCTGGCATTTTCCATTGGCCTGATATTTGTGCAGCGGTCTGGTAATTATTTTGTAACGATGTTCGATGACTATTCAGCTACATTGCCTCTGCTTATTGTTGTCATCTTGGAGAATATTGCCATGTCTTATGTTTATGGGATAGACAAGTAAGTGCATATCATGGTTTGCTTTCAATATTCTGTTCATGGTTATAGCTTTTTCTAACACTATTGGCACAATCCTTTACTAAAGGTATACTTGTATTATAAATTGGTCAATTCATGCAGTCTACCAAAGCATAGTAATTTATTTTAATTTTTAAAATATATACATTATTTTAAATAAGCTGAAGTATTTTGTACTAGATCTTACATCAGCACTGTTGTATTTAAACTATTAAATGTTCTTTCCCTCAGATTCATGGAAGATCTAAAGGATATGCTTGGTTTTTCTGCAAACCAGTACTATTACTACACATGGAAATATATTTCCCCTCTTGTTTTGTTATTTTTGTTGGTGGCTAGCATTGTCCAGATGGTATTAAGCCCTCCTGGTTACAATGCATGGATTGAAGAGAAGGTGAGTGTGTCTGTTGTAGAAAATGAACAGACAAAACCAGTAATCTCAGAATGTAGGTAACGTGCATTTCAAAAATATCCATGTATCCTATGTGTATAAGAAGCAACCTAAAACAAAGATCACATGTTGCAATTTATGAAACCAACACTTTCCCCAGCAAATATTTTTCTTAAAGGATGATTAGCACAACAGCCATAATTCCCCAGATTGGAGGGTTGGTGGTTAGGTTGTCAGATTTCCTCTACTGGGAGGAGAAAGACCTGCACTCAACAGTCCCAGTTCCATCCACAGGAAGCTTTATAGGGGTAGGCCCTGTGACTAGGCCAGAATTCATAATACATACTCATTACTGAGTTAGGAACTGGAGGTTTCAGTGGGACTTCCATGGAAAGTCTTCAACAGGAAGATGGGAGAGGTGTGGAAAGTGGCATCTTTATCTCCACTACCTAGGCTGAAGGGAATAACTGCTACAATAGTATCCTACGTTCCTTAGCTTCTTACTCTGTGTGACAAGGACAGGCTATTGAGGGACACCTCATGCCACATGCTATTAATTCAACAAATCCTATAGTCCTCATACGCAGTCCTGCCTAACATCCTAGATTTCTGGATGACTCTTCTTGAGATCTAGATTAGATTAGGCCTTGGTGTTTGAGGCTTCCCATGACCTTAGTGATTTCATTGTTAGGGGACCCCACATCCTGATGGTCTTAGTTTGCTGCCAAGTGACCATCCAGCCTAGAATGAATCTCCCAGACATCTGAGGGTAGTATGCATTTTTGGATTTAGCATGTGTGTTAAGGCTTCCTTTGGAGAAGGGCTTTGTGCTACCTGCCAAAATGCATGTTCCTATCTTGGTGGTAACAGGTGTCCAAGACAAGGCTAATATTTATTATCTGAATTACCCAGTCAATAAACGTTACAATATATTCTGGTGGAATGCATTGTATTATATGTTAAGAAGACCTTAACAATGTTTTCTTATACTTGAAACTCCAACATAGAGAACCTCAATATTAATGAATTTTGAATATATGCCTTCTGAAGGGAGTTGTTCCCAAGAGGCCAGTGCAAATGTTAGTTTAAGAAAAGACAGCTAACCATATTTCTGTTATTTCTCTTGGACTGCACAGGCAACTGAAGAATTTCAGAACTACCCAACCTGGGGGCTGATTGTCTGTATATCTCTAATTGTATTGGCTATGCTCCCTGTCCCAGTAGTCTACATAATTCGCCAGTGCAACCTTATGGATGACAGCTCTGGGAGCTTGGCGGCTGTTTCTTACAAAAGAGGACGCATTATCAAGGAACCTGTGAACCTTGAGGGGGATGACACCAGTCTGATCCATGGGAAAAGTCCAAATGAGTTGCCATCTCCCAGTTTTGGCAAAAAGATATACCGAAAACAGACTGGCTCACCAACTGTGGATACAGCCCCCAATGGTCGCTATGGTATCGGTTACATCATGGCAAACATGTCAGACATGCCTGAGTCTGACTTGTAGCTAGAAAGCAGGGTTGGTGCCTCTGGTCTTATACTGAACCACTGAACATTGGTTCTCTGTAAGAGGAAGCGGTCAGCTTCACTTACTAGAGTGCAATCTCAGGTGCCCCGTGAATATGTCCTTCAAAAAACATCATGACATACGGTCAAAAGAGCTTGAAAATTCCCTTTGGCCTGATTCTTTGGCTTCTATTTGTACTCAAGGGAATGCACATAAATACCAATCAGTGATGGCCTAGCTTTGTCAGGATTGCCAATTTTTAAAAAAATTATTTTTGCATTTAATTTAAAAGTTTTCTATCTCTCTTTAAAGTACAGGTGTTTACCTCAGTTTGTAGCAATTTTTTAAGTGAATTCATATTTCTCTACTGCTGAACTGGAACGTGCTCCTTTGTTCCTGCTGATTAACTTCCCTACCCTGTTGGGAAAAAAAAGAGTTCCAAAGAGTTCACCGAGCTTGTATGAACTGCACTTATTTGTATATACGTTTTTGTAGATAATCCTGTACTTTTTTTAAGCACTTACAGTTCCTTAGGCTACTAGCTGAGTTTTAAAAAAAAGCAATCGAACATTTAAAACCCTGCAGATTATTTTCTTACATGTAATATCTGTATAGAGGAAAAGTATTAGAAAATCAAGTATGATTATTCTGGAAATACAGAATTCCTCAAGCGTGGGGGAACTGCATATGTTGTGGCGGTATTTTACATATTATATTTGTTTTTTTTTTTCAGTGTGAAAATTATGTCAGAGCGAGTCACTCCGAGACTCTTAATGATTGTGCAGATTCTGCATTTTTCTAAGCTGTGTGCCTAAAAAAAACAAAACAAAAAAGCCCTTCCTGATATTTATTGTGGTTACAAGATTATATATATTATATTTATATATAATATACTTGTAATGTACATATGTATAGTAAAATTGTATGTAACAGCTTCAAGCCCTGAATCAAGATGGCTTTAAAGAGATGTTTCTGTTTTGCTTCTGTTTTATGCAGAGAGGAACTCCATTTTTCCCCAGTCAGTGATAATTAAGAACTGTATGCTATTACATTATACTAGGAATAAAGAGAGTGGAAAGGCATTGTCTTTTGTGTTCTCTAGTATTTTGCCACGTTTATGTCTCTCACATAAGTAATAAGGGGAAGGTGAATACAGTCTTTGGGACTGCACAGACCATAGCTTCTGTGGGACAAGATGGATTGTTTCCTGCAACAGTCCTAGGCTCCCTTGAATAGCATCCCAGGGGGCCATATAAAATGACCAGTTTCACACACCAAGGGTAGAATAAGAGGTCTGCTTATAGAGGGTCCAAGAGATCTGGCCCATGATAGTCCACTCTCGACAGTCTTGAAAACCCTTGGATTGATTCGTCTCTAAAATCAACTGCAAAGAAGGCATATCACAAGTGTGGGTGCACCAAGAGTGACTGGGACCTGCAGAATCCATAGCCTTTCCAGTCTTCTGGAGATGCATGTAAATTGGCCACTGGCCTCTGCCAACCCTGGAGTGGTTGAAGAGTAATTTTCTCCTGTTGGTGGCAATTATGATAATAGGGGTTGGCACCCTGCTCTTTCCTTACTTTCATGCTCCGTTATGAACCTCACAGGATTCTGGGAGATGTTAGTGCACATTGTGGTTGAGGGGAAAGGATCACAGAATTACTGTTTAAGTTGTTAGTGCACATCGTGGTTGGGGGGAAAGGATCACAGAATTACTGTTTAAGTAGCATTAGTCCTGCTTCCTGTTAAAAACGACAAGTGTTGATTTAAGCATGGCTTGGGGAGAAAGATTTATTGTGTCTATTTTAAAAGAACAAAACAAAACACAAAGTTGATAGCCACAACTGGTGGAGGAGCATTTTGTGAGCATTCCTTGGTATTTGTTCCATTTAAAAATATTTGTGAGGCCTACCATTCATGTTGTGACACTAATCAAGGGAAAATCCCAGAAACTGACTCCTTTTTTCTTCAGTTGATGACTTCATGCCCAAACACAAAACAATTGTCAGGGCTGTTTTTGACATGTGATAATATATATGTTGAATTATTTGTGCATTGCCTCAGGAAAAAAAATTAATCTAGCTCAACTGATGTGTGGATTGTTTTACAACATTTTGTGAGAGAAGAGCTGTCCACTAAAGTGATCCATGAACCTTCTTCTGAGAAGATTTTCCCCAATATATCCTACAAGGCAATAGGTGTAACATTTTTTTAAAAAAATACTTAACATGCACAAGACAAGTGTTACTGCTTTTTCAACACTACAATGATGTGAACACGAATAGGAAAAAAAAAGCTTTCCTATGTAAGGTGCTGCTATCTGAAATGGCAAGGAACGTTGGTTAAAGAAACTGAGGAAGGCACTCCTTTGAACTTAACAAATTCCAAAAGTTATTCACTGATACAACAATAGCACTTGAGTTTTATGTGAATTGCCTACACAGTTCATGGAGAAGGAAACATTCACAAAATGCACTTTCAAAGTACAGTATGGTAAACAGAGTCTTCAGGGCTACATTTCCAAAAGGGAGGCCATTTTCAGGACCAGTTTTAGGGTGACTGATGAATGTTGTATGGCCCTCAAGTGTACTTTCTTTGAAACGGACTCGTGAAAGCTAGGTGGCTACCAGTCACAGTGATATAAGTAGAGCTCTAATGGAAGACGCCAAGACCTGTCATGGGCTACTTTCTGTTCCCACTAAGAAATCAGAAGGCCATGAGAAGCTTCCAAGCACATGAATTTAACAGTACCCTACTTCTTATGTTCTCACAGGTATTGAAAGGTCTAATACTTTGGCTTGGGTACGAGTGATAGCTTACAGAATTATATTAATAGCCATTTATATCCCGGTCTTCCATAAATAAGTCTGATTCCCTTTTAAACCCTTTGAATATGCTTTCTAGACTTCTGGAGATGCATTTAAACTGACTGCTGGCATATGCCAACCCTGGAGTTATTGTAATTTTCTCCTATTGGTGGCAATTATGATACTGTAATAGGGGTGGGCACCCTGCTCTTTCCTTACTTTCACACTCTGTTATGAACCTCACAGGATTCTGGGAGGTGTTAGTGCACATGGTGGGTTGGGGGGAAAGGATCACTGAATTACTGTCAAAGTAGCATTACTCCTGCTTCCTGCTAGAAATATGACAAAAAGTGTTGATTTAAGCATGGCTTGGGGAGAAAGATTTATTGAGTCTGTTTTAAAAGAACAAAACAAAAAGTTGTAGTGAAATCCACAATATTAACTCTGTCTTTCCTAAGGAACTTTTTGTCTTTCTGGAATCTCCCATCATTAATCTTCATCAAATGACTCTGAATTCTAGCATTAGAGAGGCTAAGGTTTTTTCCCCCCTCCTTCCACTTTATCTGCACAATTTTATAAAGTGGATCGAACAAGACAAGCCTGGACCTCACAAGGCAGTACATGTCTGAATTCCAGGTGCAATGACAGAAAAGCCACTCACTTGGTGCCTTTGCTTGCAGTCTTCCACTAGCCATGGTGTTTCAGTATCAGCAAGATACTGAAACAAGGAAATCTTGGTGCGGCGTGGTTATGTGGTTAAAAAGCTATTGGCTCAAGATAAGAAGAGCACCGAGTTGGATCTTTGATGGGAATAGAGGGGAGCCAGGCTGGTCTTCCTATCTGACAGAGTGTGACACACACCTCAGGTGGCTGAAATGAACATCAGCTGGGTGAGCCTCCACTCCTGGCAACTTTGTTCCCCATCCTCTCACTCCAGAGCATGGCCAGGAAATAGCTTTTTCCATCAGCTGGGCTCAAAAATGCCAGCCAAACATGAACTGGATTGTCCGTCAGTTATGCATCTACCTCCAACTTACCAGGAATGTGTATTTGTGCAGACCGGCCAGATCTGACCTCTTGTGGTCCAGGCAGAGAGCACAAGCATCTAGCTAGTGAAACAGAGTTGTTAGTGATACTATGTCTGATTTCAGTTCAGAAGATCACAGCTTCACATAATGCCAAGTTGAAGTCTGGACTGCTGTCTTTTGCACTGAGTTGAGACTCCATGGCCACCCAGTTAGCGGAGACACTAGCACTTCAGTTAGCAGAGGGATTTTTAAAAAATGCTGAGAATCCTGCCCCTGCTGTGACTTGAACACACTATCTGCTGATTTATAGTCAAGCACACTATCACTGTGCCTTTGCACCACTGTCATGAGCTTGTCAGAAGAAACTATTCACATGTCTCCCAAATCTGAAAAGAGAGAATTATTGGTGAGAAAAGGTAGCAATGTAATGCTAGTTGTGTACTCGAGTCTCTCCCGGCTTGAGCCCTGATCTGTTGTCATGAGTGTCATGGCTTCTCCACTGCCTGCATCTCAGCCATCACTTGAAGGGGGGTGGGGAACCCTCTGTCTTTGTAGTATAGATCCAGCTACATTTGCACAGTCCATCCTTAGCAAGACCTTGGAAAAATTACTTCTCCAGAGCCTAGAAATGTTTACTTTTTGAAATGACAACTTGCAGAATTACATTGCCAATCTGGCCATTGGAGTAAATAATAATAA